CGAGGAAGCCAACTCCTCAGAGAGAATTAAACACTCGAAAGAAAGCACCATGCTCACAAGAACCCTCAATGGTGAGGGGAGTGATGCTTCCAAAGTGTGTCGACAGAGACAAACTAGATGAGCGGAGCCCAAGGTCCTTGGTACCATGGCTGTATTTTTGATCTAATACAGCCATGAGTCTTTTGAGTACCCAAGGTATGGGTATGGAGCCATGAGTACCTTGGGCTCCGCTCATCTAGTGTGTCTCTGTCGACACACTTTGGAAGCATCACTCCCCTCACCATTGAGTTGGTCTAAACCAACTCAGAGAAAGGGAACAAGGTTAATAATGCGTAACCCTTACCATACAGGATTCCAGAAAAGTGGGCAAAGCATAATGTGCACAGTTACCACTTATGTGGATTTTAGAAAGTGGGCAAAGCATAACGTGCAAATTTACCAGCTATGTGGATTTTAGAAAGTGGGCAAAGCATAACGTGCACACTTACCACTTATGTGGATTTTTAGAAAGTGCGCAAAGCTTAACGTGTTCACTTACCTTAGTATGGATTTAAGAGTTTTCCAAGCATCTGCTCACAGATACCCGGAAGTACTGAGCCAAACGGGAGAGGCAAGCTCAAATACAACCCTCTAAGGAGAGGGGAGCACTGCCTGAGACCGCATTACACAAGAAGGTTCTCGCAAATGCCACCTATACTTCCCGCTCAATGCCTCAGCAAGAGGGGATACCCTGGTGATCAGGAGGCCCCTCAGGGCGACCTAGATACAGTAAATTAGACAGGGCAGCCTGAAAGCATGAGCCCAGCCCGGAAGTCCAGGAAATGTTTGCAGTGCCGTGCTGGGGGCCTGATGATCAAGAAGGCTCCCGCACCTGACCTGGTGCTGCGTATGCCCTGCCATTCAAGCGAGATGTAATCTGAAGGGGCTTGGATGGCAAGGAGGGAGTTTTGAGAGAAGATGTCTAACCCATAGAGAGATAGCCGGCTAGCGTCTCTTCTACCGGGGGCATCCGCTCATTGCCATTTTCGCGCATCGCCTCGATGTTGGCATAACTCGTATGCTGGAACCGATGGATGCGTGAGGAAAACGACCTCTTCCATTCCTTCTCGATCTCAGTATGGAGATCAGGAAGGAAAGGAAGGCTCACCTGAGCTGGAGGGTTATGGCCAGAAAGATAACGTTCATCGAGACGACCTCGCGACGTCACTTCCTTAGTCCGCTTCCATGGTAAGTCAAGCCTCGCCGTGGCACGATCCATAACTTCCAAGAGCTCATCATACGCACACTGTAAAACTTTACTGTAAATTTAAAGGTAATTTCTAACAGTATTGTACTGTATTTTCATAAAACAGTATCAAACTGTATATTTAACAGAATGGCTGTAAATGTACAGCATTTTTCTGTTTTCAGCACGCAAAATTCGTAATACAGTATCCGGCTGTAAAGGCATTGCATTGTGGGATTGATTTCCTTCGCGCTCAATTTCTTTAAAATGTGAGCAGAGCCACATTTAATTTGTTAGTGGGATATTCACATGAACACAATAGGCACAACGTTACACATGAAGACATGCCAGTCGTTTGTGAATTTTAAAGTTTTAAACTTTGAGCAGTGAGTTCACTTTTTAATCTATAGCTGCCTGTGACGCTTAATTATAACTAACGTACAACTTTGTGAGACTATACCGACACGGCAATAAAATGAGAGGATGATGCAGCAAGAAGACGGGGAGAATAAATTGTGTCTGACGAAGAGAAATGAAGTTTGTAGCAGATGGATAATTGTTTGACTGAGCATTGACACGGTAAGACATTGTTTTATTCGATTGCATTTCTGAACTGTTTGCACGAGTGGGCTGATTTTGGGAATGATGGCGTTGTCATTCCACACCGACAAACGCTACCAAACAGACAGCACACGACACGCTCAT